TTAAAATGAATAAAACAAATGCTGAAAATATAATCTATAAGAATATAATCTTTTTCTTTTAGTGATGGCTGAAATCCTAATTATGATCAGACAGCTGGAGGTCGGAAGTCTCTTTTGCGTTTTTTTCGCCGTAAATATGCTTGTTTTTTTTTTTGTTTTTTTTTAAAACTGATATATCATGAAAAGTAGAGCGATGCGCAAAAAGGTCATAATAAAAATATTTCAGTCTTCTAACAAGGTTTATTTAATGTTTCATATTCGTAAACGATTTAAGGATGTAAATGGAAACTTGTTCCCAACAGAATTAAATAAAAACAAAGAAGATTCACTTTAATCTCTTGCATAAGAAAGTTTCTGACGCTCCTATTTTGCCGGAAAATTTCAAAAAAGTTTATTTTGAGTTTCTATATTCAGAACTTAGCACTGAGTGTACTTTGATGGTTCTTTTTTATTTGTTATACTTTAAAAAAAAATAAAAAAAATTTTTCACGTTGTTTAAAGTGTTTCCCAAGTTGCTGAGGTCAAGTTTTACTGTATCTTATCCTTCATGAGGGCGTTTGCCCCCATAAAAGAACTCAATTTCGTTTTCAGTCCCCCTTGTTAATCAGCCGTTTTTCCACGACCTCTGGATTCTCCAAATAGTAACGCTCATATGGTTTTATTTGGAGTTTTACTTGTTGCCACTTTCTTCAATGCTTATTTTTGGCATTTTAAATTACAAGGACAATAACTGGATCCTGGTTTCATTTGAATGCCCCAGCTTTTTAATTTAAACACCAGCTGTTACCCGCCCAAGCAAATGTTAGAATTAGCATCTAAAAGTCGAGAAAAATTAGAAAGAAGCTGTTGTTACGTGAATTTATTTTTTATTAAAACAAACAGATTTACATCTGGAACCGCAGAAACTACCCCTCCTGGCCTCTCTCCGACGAATCCACCTGCTGCTTTTGTTTCAAGGGACAAAACGTGTCCTTAAATTTCTGAAACAGGCGCTTTGCTGAGATGCTTTTGGACAAACTAACACCAGAGAGCACCAATTTTTATTCATCCCTGTTTTTGTCCTTCTGAGACTGGATGGAGGGTTTTCTCTGCGGCTCCTCCTCCTCCACAACCTTCCCCTCCTCCTCCTCCTCAGGTCTGTTTGGATGCTGCAGAGTCTCACAGCCCGACAGACACAATCAGGAATTTACCTCAACACATACAGACACAACAAGGAAATACAGCGACAACACGAAAGCGCTGCAGAAAACATGCAAGCTGAGCCGAACAGTCCGCTCACATCCTGAGCTTCTCTGAGCAAACAGCCAGTATGTTCAGTTAACAGACAAGCTCATAAACAAACAGCACCGAGTTAGATTACGCTGTCAAAATAAAAGCATAATGGAGAAAAGAATGTCCCTCTAAATACATTTCCTTTATGCGCGCGTTTTTACGCACGAATAAAACTAGTGGGAAGAATGAGTATCAGTTTTTGGCACCTGCTTGCACTTGACCAACACCCTGAATCGTCTCATCATTGGTATTATTATTTGAAGGGGGAAAAAAGCATTACATGAAGCTGAATCTATCCTGTATTATAAAAACTATGGTAAGTGAATGAAAGATCCAAATGAAGAAAATAAAAAAATAAAAAAATTACAGAACCTTTCCATGAACGTTTTCATCCAGCAAATTGTTCTTTTTGGTTCTGTTGTAAAAGACCAGTCAATAATAATAATATGGCATTAAATCATACATATATGAAATGTTCATATAAAAAATTAAATTCGAATTTAAAAATGATTTATTTTTAGCAAAACAGATAAAACAAAAACAAAATATAAAGCTTCACAGACGGGAAATACCATAATAATAACATGACCGGTGATGAACCTTAATGGTTTATATAACAAAATAATTAAAAACAAAAAAAAGGAGATTCTGACAAACTGATGGAGTTTATTCAGACTTGTAGTTTCTGAGAATGTGTTCAGTGCTCAGTTTCTTCTTTGTGCGTTAAAAACCTTCCAGCCCGAAATAAACCCGCTCACTTTGCTACAAGTCTTCTCCTGCCTTGCTTCAGTGATGAGCGCCCGTCACTGACAGACTGCTTCACCTTTTCACAGAAAATAAATTCATATTTGTGGTTGTCTGAGAAGCGCAAACGCTTCCGTGACAATTCAGTGTTTCATGCGTAAAAACAGCGGAGCGTGTCCGAGCAGCTGGTTCATTTTTTATTAGAACTACACAAAGAATTACGTCAGGTGTATTTAATCCAGCGCGACTCTCTTAAAAGTCGCTCTTTGTTAATAAATGAGCTTTCTCCTCTTAAATTGTAGGTTTTCTGTGTGTCAGCAAGCTGAGTCACATTTCTGCCGAAAAGTCTCCACTTTGGATGAAAACTGTGAGTTGTTGGCAGATTTCCACATAATTCACGTAAAGTTAAGAAATTCAAAGTAAAATAAAAAATATGGAAAAATGTTCAGTTAGCTTTATGTGGTTTCGTTTTGGACACCTCGATGCTCCAATGATGTCAAAAAAATGTGTGTGTGTGTGGGGAGGCTTACAATTTCGGTTGTCTTCCCCTCGCACACACTGACATCAAGATCCTCATACCACCTTAAACGTGTTAAATCAACTGTTGTGCACTTTACAGACTGACAGATTTGGCTGAGTGTGTCTCCCATTAAACTATTTAAGGTGGAATTACATTCTGAAAGGCTTTTATTTTGTAGACTTAACAGTTTTTTTTCCTTTTGTAATTATCTGTTCCAGACAACACGTGAGGGTGTTGTTGAGGGGGAACATAATATATTTATTTTTTGCGCTCATATGGAGAGAAAAACTTCATTGTAGTAGCAACAATACTTGTGATATCTGCATGGAAATATTACTATTACTGTGCTAATAACAGCGGTGTAGCTGTACTCATTTCGTCAATAATGACAGTGAATCAATAAAAAAACCCCAGCAGTGCTACTAACAAGAGGTAGTTGTGTAGTTTCAGGGGCTGAAGCAGCTGCATACGGCTGGAAGTACTACAGGCGTATTTGAGTGGATAGTCGTGTAGTTGTTGTGGGAACACTTAGCAGTAGTTGCAGTTTATGCATGAATTAAATGAACTCCAGTGAGACCAGAAACAATATCTGACTCAAACAACAGCAACAACAACAAAGTGCGTAAATATTACTGCACAGTCCAATTCGTGTAGTATCTGTAAAGCCATATGTGTTCTTAGCGGTTTACTATTAACATACGATAATAATGTAAACATTTAACAATGTAAGAACAACAGCGGTATCTATTCACTAATTTCCTCTCCACTGTGACACTTTGAACTTTTTTCATTTCCTTTTCGCAATCATTTCTTCGCGGGCTGGCAACCAAATTCTGTTATAAATGTAAACACATCAACCCATAAACAGCGTCCCCGTCTTTAATTTTATGAACGTTAAAGCGGAGGCAGATAAGGCAGATATTGTGGACTTCATTGCCTACATCCCTCAGTGCCGTTAGAGCAGCAGTAAATGAAGGAGCAGGGGTGCCGTACCAGTCACAGTATATGCGTATAATTGCAACGTATCTTATTTTATTTTGTTTTATTTCTTCGAAGGAAAAAAAATTACATAAATCCCTATTTGAAATGTTGTGTTAAATTATTTCACATTTTTCTGTCGATGGCGGTTTAAAATAAAAATAAAAAATAAATCTGTGAATGCGGCTTGGTTCTAGCTCTCGGCGGCCCTCGGCTCTCCACCCTTTCCCACACTCCGAGTCTCTTCCTGCCTCCGGTTCACTTCGTGCTGTTGTTAAATTCTCCTCCGCTGGGAGGAAAGTAAGTGACTACTGAAACCTTCCTTAAAGTGGCAGATTGAAATGACACCGTGTTTATGCCCGGCACACATTTTACGCACGGAGAAGCGGCTTTTGGAGAAGCAGCCCCGCAGCCTTTCTGCGCAGCGCAGTCTGCTGCGATCTGACACATAAATCACCTCAGCCTGTCCTGACCGTGTCCGCGTGCCCTCCGGATCCCCTCTCCTCTGTTTATTTTCCCGGGATGTAAACAGTTTTGGAGACGCCGAAGGGGCAAATATTTGAATCGGAGGAGTGTAAATATGAGGAGCGGCGGGGATTTGGGTTTACGCATGCACGGTGTGTGTTTTCCAGCTATGGTTTTTTGGTTTAGGTGGGGGAGAGAGTGTGAGAGGGGAGGGATGAGGGGAAGGCACACGAATGTTGATAAGGGTGAGTGTGTTTTCTACGCTGTAAAAAGTGTCCGATTTGGCGGCGTAAAAAGGCTCTAAAGTTTCATTTTCTCTATAAAAAAAATGTCAGGTGAATAAACGAGTGGGTTTTAAAAAATCTCAATTTTTTTATTCGAGTTTAATCCGTTTACAGTTCAAGGGTATGATTTCGCAGATGAGATTAATACGAGGACAGGGAGCACGAGTTTGAAGAAGAATAGTCTAACATCCAACGAAAATTTCGAAGCAAACGATTCGCTTTGGAAACCATAAAAACAGACTAGTTCCTGTCGCAGTTCGATGTTCATTTTGATCAAATTTCGATTCGTTAGGACAGAAACCATGAAATGTATCGGGAAGGTGGGCATTTTTTGCAGCGTGCAAGGCATTGGTGGATGTGTGTGTTTCCCTGTGCGTCATGATTGGCTGAAAGCGCAGAGGACGCCTTAATATTTAATACTAATGTTCCCCTGGTTGGCTGAGGACTGGAAAGGTCCAACCAATGTTTTTTTACTTGCTTTAGTGGCTGTGGCTCCCTAATTAATTGCAGCTATCTGTCTCCTATCGATGTGTGTGTACATGTGTGTTGTGTGTGTGTTTCCTTTTTTCTCCCCAAACCGAACATGAAATAGTTTGTTGGGCTATACTTTCTTTCTTCCTATCTATCCCCCCTTCCTTCCTTCCCGTCCTGGTTCGCAGGCAGAGACAGGACAGATTGAAACCCAGCTGTGATCGTCGCTTTTGGTCGTTGCCATTTTCCCCCCTTATTGCCCGGTGATGTTGGATATGGGAGAGCGCAAAGAGGTGAAAATGATTCCTAAATCGTCGTTTAGTATAAACAGTTTGGTGCCCGAGGCCGTTCAAAGCGACAACAACAATCACCAGAACCAGCATCACCACCAAAACCACCTTCACCACCACCACCAGAACCACCACCACCGGCCCGGCGCCGCGGACGAAGCCGAGCAGAAAGCTCCTCTTCCCGTCGCGCAGCCGGACGTTAAGGCGGACTCTAAAAGTGACTCCTCGAGACAGGAGAGCTGCCCGGACGAGAAGGAGAAGCAGGAAGAGAAAAAGGACGCAAAGGACGGAGACGGCGGCGCTGGAGGGAAGGACGGAGAGAAGAAAAGCGGCAAGTATGAAAAACCTCCTTTTAGTTATAACGCTTTGATAATGATGGCCATCAGACAGAGTCCGGAGAAGCGGCTCACTCTGAACGGCATTTATGAATTCATCATGAAAAACTTCCCGTACTACCGGGAGAACAAACAGGGCTGGCAGAATTCCATCCGACACAATCTCAGCCTCAATAAATGCTTCGTCAAGGTGCCGCGGCACTACGACGACCCGGGCAAGGGGAACTACTGGATGCTGGACCCTAGCAGCGACGACGTTTTCATCGGCGGCACTACCGGGAAACTCCGACGGAGGTCCACCACGTCCCGAGCCAAGCTGGCCTTCAAGCGGGGTGCTCGGCTGACCTCTGGGCTGACCTTCATGGACCGAGCCGGCTCCTTGTACTGGCCCATGTCCCCCTTCCTCTCTCTACACCACCCGCGGGCAGGCGGCGCCCTCGGCTACAACGGGACCTCATCGGGATACCCGGGTCATCCCATGTCCTACAGCACCATGCTCACCCAGAACATGAGCAACAACCACTCGTCATTCCCATCCTCCAACGGGCTCAGCATGGACCGGCTGGTCGGGGGGGATCTCCCCTACGCGACGCACCACCTGACAGCGGCGGCCCTGGCGGCCTCGGCGGTACCCTGCGGCCTCTCCGTGCCTTGCTCCGGGGCCACTTACTCCCTGAACCCCTGCTCGGTGAATCTACTGGCCGGACAGACCAGTTACTTTTTCCCTCATGTCCCACACCCGTCCATGACCACGCAGTCCGGCGGCAGCGGCGGCACCTTGCAGGCCGCCCGGGCTTCGGCCTCCAATTCCCCGCAGGCTCCGTCCTCCTCCTCGCTGCCCTGTGACTCTCTTAGGCCCGCTCTGTCCGGCTCTCTGCCGGCCTTCTCCTCAGGACTTTCCGGGGGGTTGTCTGACTATTTTACGCATCAGAACCAGAGTTCAACCTCCAACCCGCTTATACACTAACACCCCAAACCCTCACCCCCAGCCTCACCCCTCCACTTTATCCCACCTCACCTCTCCATCCATGCATCCATCCCCTCATTCTGCCCTGAAGGAGTGAGAATCTTTAAGTGACTGGAACTGTAAGTTGAACATTTTACACTGAACATTTACATTGTACAAAAAATGACAAAATTATTATAAACTACCTACTATAGAAAAAAGAGAAGAGGCTTAAAACTGCAAAACAAAAAAGAGCAGCACTGAGAAACTAACAGAAAGCAGCCCTGAAGTTTCCAGGTATTTTTTATTATTATTATTATTATTATTATCTTAATTGTTATTATTATTATTATTATTGTTATTATTATTATTATTGCTTCTTCTTCTGCTCCATCTTCTCCAGCAGTTTTAATTTTTGTGTACATAATGTCTGTTCCTATAAGTGTCCGGGGTTTGTCTCTGTATAGTACTGTCAGTCAGCGACGTGCAATGTGATCTGAGATAAAAAAACAAAACAAAACAAACAAAAACACAAAAAACAGAGAGCGTGAGGAGAGCTGCAGGCTGATTTTTTCTGTTATTATTATTGGAGGAGGTATTACTTTTATAGAATATGTATTTAAAATAGTTTCGTCTAATTTTAAGATTTAAAAAGGTAAAATAATAATAATATCTCTGATAGCCTGTTTTGCCCGCATTTTTGCAGTATTATAAGTATCATGCGGGGTTGAAGAAAAGCGGCGGAGAGTGATTTTATTTTACAAAATTGAAACACATTTTTTATATATTTTTTTTATTTTTTTGTTTCTAGCGACTCTGCCTCCCGCAGTTTAAAGTCCCGAGACTGTTTCTCCACTCGTTTAATTTCCCAGTTGAAAACTGCTAATGTACTTTCTATAGACCAAAGAATCGGTTTTTTAGGATTTTTAGAGTCAGTATTCAGCTGCATAACACTACAGGCCTAATGTGGAAAGAATTAAGGACTGAATGAATGGATGGGAGAAGGTGTGGATGACGGAGTGAATGATGCCTCCCTCACTGCAGAAAATATCCATTTAAACGAGATTTATATTGCTTTTTTGCAGTCTTTTTAAATTAGCTGAAACGTAAATGGAGTTTGGTGGCGCCGATTTTTTTCAGCGTCATCAGCGAAGGATTGTTAGTGCTGCTGGAGAGATTTTTTTTGCCTCCTGTTGCCTGTTTTTTTTTTAAACCTTTTGAATTTAACTGCTCGTGCTATAGAAAATTCAGATTTCAAGGCTGAATATTGAGCACAAATTTCTCGTTTTGCTGATGGATATTTTCCGCAGTGCAACCTGTGATGTGCTTTCTTTGACTGTAAACGTGATCGCCGATAAAAACGGACGTTCACGCTTCTTTTCCTTTTATTTACTTTTTGTATTATTAGTAAAAAAAAAAAGCGAGCGAGAGAGAAATGTCTATTTGTAAGTTGAATGTGGGCTTTTGCTTTTCTGTTTTTCTATAAAAGGAGGAACGATGTAAAAACCCGTTTGTTTGACAAGAAAAAAAATGCCTCATTATCTAATACTACTTGGAATGATTGTCCTTTAATTGTCGTCTCTAAAGAAATTTTCATGGTTGTGATACTATTGTGGTCTTATTCTTATTCCCGTGTTTGTCGCTTACAAAAGTTTAAAAAAAGAACAAAAAAAGAAAAAAATAATCATAAAAAATAAAAATAAAAGAATAGGTTACATTCATAACTAATGAAAATCCTTTTGTCTTTTTTTATTCCTGCCGTCCGTGTTTTCACTGATTTCACTGAAAAGCACAAAAATCAATTTAGGATTATTATTGTTCTTTTTTTTTTTAACAGCAAAACCACCTTTTTTCTTCTTCTAGATTTTAACTTAAATTTTGGATTTTCTTAATCAGATTCTGAATTATGGTTTTATGGAGAGCAAACATCATTTGATTCATTTGTGGGCTAAGGTCGATATCCCACCTCATCCACACGAGTGTTTCCGTTTATGTTTTCCTGGAGTTTTAGTTGTTCTTGTTTACGCACACATCTGGGATTAAAAAAAAATTCAACCTGTGCGTTACAGCTTTTACACGTGCAGATTTATGCGCGTCTCGGTGAAAAAACTGTCAAATGATGCAACCGGAGGTCGCGTTAAGGCTGCTGAAGCCTGACTGACTGTGTGAGGGTCTTTTGGTGTTTCAGGTTGTGACATTTTCTCCTTCTGAGCAGTGAAATCTGAGGCGCTGGAGGCTGTGGCCTCTGGGTTTGTGTGCAGCCCCCTCCACCCCCCCTCCCTAATAATGTCATCTTTGCACTGTTTTATCATCATATGTCTGTTTGGTTTAAACTGCTCACAGCTCAAACCACCGTACACTAGTTGTAAGGAGCTCCAGTTTTTTCAGTCTTTTTTTCCAAAGAAAAGTCAGGATGTGAGAGCAGATTTGAGCGCTGTGTCACTGATGCGTTTTAGTGTTTTAAATGCGGCTTTTCTTGCTCACTTTGCTCAGTTCTGTTTGTTTTTTTAAGCCCCAGAGCAGAAACTTTCTGGATATTTTCCCCTTTACATTTTCAGATTTGACATCTTTCCTAAACAAGAGTCAGCTTTTGCAGGCTAATTGTGGTCACTGGTGTTCTTTCTTTGGCGCTGTGCAGTGTTTTCGTCTGTCTGTGGCTTTTTATGTGTTAACAGGTGATGACTTTGATGGTGAGATGACTCTTCTTCTCTGTTTTTTAATCATTCTGCCTCATCTGATTTTTTTTCTTTTTAAGAATCAGAAAAAGATGATTTTTTCCCCCTTAAATTTAGAGATTTGTGCATTTTTTTCTTGGTCAGGGGCCAAATGGTGATGGCGCGTTTTTTCCACTACAATTTCTGATATTTCCACCGTCAGGAGACTTTCTTTCCTCTTCCCCTTGGCGCTACTGTGGTTTAGATTTTGAGTATTTCAGATGCTGGTGGCCGGGTTTGCGCCTTCTTGAAGCTATTTTACAGCTGAAACTTAAACAAGGTTGAAAATTTACTTCTTAAGTTTGGAACTATTTAATGTTGTGTGAAGTTAATTATTTATTTTTGTGGTGTCATATTTGTACTATGCAACGATCGGTCTGAGATCCACATGTATGCTTCATGTATAGGTCGCAGATGCTTGGTTTGGTTTTTAAATCTCTCCAAATAAACACACACACACACACACACACACACACACACACACACACACACACACACACACACACACACACACACACACCTGACATTTCAGATTGTGTTAATTCGGTTCTTCAGTAAACAGGTTCACATATCGGTTTTCAGTATTTTTGCGCTTCTGTGGAGAAGAAACATGAATTAAATCCAGCAGGGATGCACGTGCTGGTCGTGAAGTCTCACATTTGGAGATTTTCTCTCTTTGTTACCTGATGCTCTGCGTTTAATTCTGTGTGGCTGCAGCTTATGTGCCACTTTCTGTTTTGTTCTTTCGCTTTTTTGGGGGTGTTTGTGTGTTTCATTCAGGAAGTCTGATTCAAAGCTGAGCGTGTGCGTTTGTGTTGTGCTTTCTGCTGCTGCCGGGATCAGCTTCAGTGTCTTCTTTGAGGTGCTCTGATCGCTTTTTGTGCAGTTGTCGTGATTCCGAACTCAACCTGAAATCAGAATTCTACTTTCAGCCCTGAAAAAGAAAAGTGAGATATGGATGTAGAGATGTGTTTGCGTCCTCCTCCTCAGCGCTTATGAGCAACGCCTAAAGACTCACAGTGTGTTCAGATGTCGCTGTGATCGCGTGGATGTTTGTTGTTGCAGCTGGTGTGATTTTGATCCGCGGCCTGCAGCTTTTCTTCCTCTCTCTCTCGCTCTCTCTCTATGCTGGTGCACAATCACCACCTCACATTTTTTTTCTGCAGGTTTGTGGCGTAAAGCCGTAAACTGAGCCTCTCTGTCTGAGGCGCTGCAGGCCTTCCAGCTTATTCTTCGTGTTTTAACATTTCAGCACAGGCTGCACACCCATATACATTTTTTCTTTCTCCACTTTCAGGAGTTTAAATTCTCTAGAGTCCACTTTAGTTGGTGCCTCATGCTTTCTGAAGCCCGTTTTCTTGCAGTGTTGTTGCTAAATTCGAATAATGTTTGCTCAATTGAAGGAAAAAAACAAAACAAAAAACAAAACAAAAAAAGCTGTTTCGATGTGAGGATCGTCCTTCCTCACCTGACAACACGTTCTAACCTGAATGAGTCTCTGTTCGGTTTTGGATAAACGCTATCACGTGATTTGTCCTATAGTGGAGTATAGTAGGTCTATAGGTCCCCTCCATCCATCTTAAAGCTCCAATTTTCTGTCTCAGAAACAACAGGTCTTGGTGTTGTTGCAGAATGTTGTTTCCCGTCTTCCCTGTCGTTTGGTGGAAAGATAATTCATAATCCATGCAGATGTGAGAGTATTCTGCTCATACAATAAGCCTGCAAAGCAAACACTGAGTTTCTAATAGAGTCAGTGTGAGAAAAATGTGATATTTATCTTATTTAGTTAAAACAAACTCATAAAGAAACCTCACAACAACAACAACAACAACAACAACAACAACAACAACAACAACAGGTAGTGCAATTATTTCAAATAATGACAATGACAGAATAAGGATTATTGCCCTCATGCCTGTCTGCTGCCCACAGGTCAAAGGTTAAACCTCCATCCTTTTTTGTACTTTTCTTAATATGTGTTAAAATAGCAACCATCTTAAAATCTCTTCATTTCTTTCAGTGGAAATTATTCCAAAAAACAAAAACAAAAATCCCAAAAGAAACAAAACAGAGTTCATTATTATTATTGAATGTTTTTGCTTTTTAAACAAAATTCGTGTCCTATTAAGAGATTTTGGATCATGAAATATTTCACTGCTGCACCTGCAGTAATTAAAGCAGGAGGTCAAAGGTCAAACCTTCAGACTGCCTGCAGCTTCCACAGGACGCAAGTGCGACCCATGTGTAGCAGACGTGTAGTGCTTGTGTTGAACCTGCAATCAAAGTAGCAGAAAGTGGAACAAAAGAATGAAGATGCAATGACGCTGATAGTTGTGTCTTTCTGCTTTTATTTGATAATCATTTATTTTTTCTGTGCATCACCGCAGCGGCTGCTAGCTTCAGTCTGAGTGCAGATGGCTCAGGATCTCCTCCGCCTTTTTATCGCGCACAGATCTGTCGTTTGGAGTCGCTGAAAACCTTCGGCTGTTTGTGCTGTTTGCTGCTGCGGCTTTAGTGCTCAGTGGATCAAGTGTGATCTTTCATTCTACAGCTTCAGGGTTTATTTTGCGGATCGATAGCCGGTGTTTTGCTACTCTGTCAGAGGCCTTATGCATGCTTGTTTCGGCTGCCTGGTGAACACATTTCATCCAGAAGGGCTCCTGGGTTTTCTATTTATTTATCAACTTATTTTTTTATGTCTTGATAATGATTATGATTTAAGTTATAGGAGACATTCATTTACTTATTTCTTCAGATCAGAAAAGACTCACTTTAAAGTTTTCAGCATGGCATTTTAAAGGCACAATAATGACTTTTGAGGGATTTTTTGCCTTGAGAAGAAGAGGAAAAGAAAATAGAATGAATGGAAATTTAAAAAAAAAAATGTGATTATTGGACAATCAGTCAGTCTGGCCTCTAAACCGCAAATCAGTCCTTTAATGGAGAAAGTTTGTTACACAGTAGCTCTTCTTCTAATCAGAAAAATCTCAATTATGTGAAGTTCTGAGCACATTTAGTCAACAGGTATAGAGCTTACATGTTTTTATGAGAAGAATAAAGCTTCTGAAAGAAAATTGCAGTAAAAAATAATTCCTGTCACACACACTACTCTGAATTTGGTTTAATTTGTGACAACGATTTACATTACATCTGGGCATCAAATCAGAGTTTTCCATCACCAACAAGAGGATAACATATGAAGAAAGCCCTAAATGTTTGAATTTGACTAAACAGATTGGACCATTTCACGAGAATCTCATTGTCAGTGATAAAACGCAACAAAATCAAACACTTTGAAATGTAGGTTTTTAAAACTCTAATTCCTTTGGCACTGAAATGGAACGCAGTTAAGGCGCTGAACAGTGTCGGCCTGTTGCCATCAAAACATCTGATTAAAAAACAGAAAGAGTCATTTCAGTGTGGACTCTGAGGGGCAGTAAAGTCCATGAGGACAACGAAATATTTTATTATTTGATATTAGAGATTTAAAGGATAAATGAACATTCCCAGTAGGTGTCTTCAAAATAGCAAAAATAACAACATTAATTTGTAAGGATTAAACATGTGATCTCATAATCCAGGATTTAATTGTAAGATTTAGCTTTATCATGAACGAAAATGGGAAATATTTTGAGAAACTAGATCTGGTGGTTAGGAGATTTTTACAGTCTGAAAAGTAGGAATAAAATTCAGAGTATCTTGGTAGTTTGGCATTAAATAGAAAAACACAAAGCTTGGCAACCCCCCCCCCCCCCCAAAAAAAAAAAAAACCCGAAA